TCATTTTTTTTAAACATATGGTGCAGCTTAACTCATCCTAGCAGGGAGAGAAAAAGCCGCCTCTGTTCGTTGGACGCAACAATCAGACTCTGGCTAACTAGCAGAATCATGGCTTATAGAGGAAACGTCCTCTTCTCCATATACCTTGTGTTTGTGCAGCATTTTACTTTTTCCAAAATGCTTTCAAATTCATTCTGCCATACTCTCTTATACTTATTGAAAAAAATGTACTATGTCCCCATTTATGAATTGTATCTTTTCTATAAAGAAACTAAAACAAGCAGTGTTAGTCCATTTTAGAGATATGAACAGTGAGGTCCAAGGATGTTCTATTACTCTCCCAAGGTCAAGAAGAGGTCATAGAAAGGCCAGAGCAAGAAGCAATGTCTCTCTGGCATCTCAGCAGATACTGGACATATTATAATGTGAGTCTGTATGTGTGTGTGTGTGTGTGTGTGTGTGTGTGTGTCAAGAGCCCAGTAAACGCTGACGCTGTGCAAAGAACTAGAATTCTTTGTTGTTGTTTGTTAGCAAACTTCAATCAAAAATGGATTCATCTGGAGCAGAACCACTGTTTTAAGTCAGCATGTTTAATCAGAAGAGAGGATTATAGAAATCAGCTTAGAGAGTAAAATTAACTTGCATAAAAAGCAGCTACGCAAGTCCCTTTCTTCTCCAAGTGCGGAAATTGACACATTTTCATTAAAATCCCAAATACAAGATTCCCAGGGAAAAGGAAATAAAAAACAAACAGGTGTTTGACGGCTGTGAGAATCTGGCCAAGAATTATTTCATTAAAATAAAAAAGCTTTACAAACAAATTACACAAATTGAATAACCCCTGCCTTGGACGGATGACCAGAGAAGAACAGAGATGGGCCAGCAGCGGCCGCCCCCGTGCCTGCCGGCTTCCCCAAGTGAGCCAGACAGGCAAGGGCAGCCACCCTGGTTTTTCAAGTTGAAGTTTTCTCAGGCCCATCAGATATGTTTATGATTCTTTTATTTACTGCCCATTTGCACGTCATCATGCAACTAGGACCCAGGATTCTAGGTCCGAGATGAAGGTCCTGCTTGGCATAAGGCGGAATCCGCTGTGTCTCTGCCATTCCTGTGGCATTTTACTCCAACCAAGAGCGGCCACACAGACTCCGTGTTTTCAAGCAAAACCAGACTCAGGAATCGCCTCACGCCCTTTTTCCTGAGAAGACACAAAGAGGTTATAGCTCTGACTTAAGGTCACAAAGCTAAAAATGATAGGGCCGGGGCTGGACTTCCACCTCAGCCCACTCTGCAGCTTGCCCTCAAGCCAGTTACCTGGTTCAAATCCCAGCTCCACCACCTGCTAGCAGTGTGACCTTGAGCGAGTCATTCAGCTTTCCTGCACTTCATCTATAAAATGGGACGGCTACAGCTCCCAGCTCACAGGGCACTGCGAGAACTGGTGAGTGACGTCCATAAAGCCCCCGCAACAGTGACGGCACGTGGCGAGTGCTTGAGGGAAGTCAGCGACCACCATCATCATCGTCGTCATTTGGTCTCTGTAACTTAGCTTCCCATGTGGAATCCACTGAACCCTCATGATTTACCATGTTTCAATGTGTTAGAGGAATAGAAAAGATATATTTTAAGTGTATGCTTTTTAGGGCAGTATCAAATCCTGGGATCTTGGATACACCACTCCATCAAAATGAGCTTCGATGTCTACATTCGACACAAGGACAGGACGGTACTCGTTCTTTCTACCTTATGCAGTTAGGTAGCGAGCCTATGGAATGTGTGCAAGAGTTTAAAAAGAAAGGAAACAGAAGAGGTGAGATTTGTGGAGGCACCACAGGTGCTCTGTGATTTACAGCAATTAATGTCATCTTCCCCCAAGCCCTGTTGTGGACACCCCACCAAGACAGGGCAGTCGCCCACTTAAATTTTGGTTTGGATGTCAAGAGCGAAAGCGCCACACGAAGCTCTCTTGCTCACATAATGAGGCCCTCTGGGGACAATGGGCAGCACCCAGGCAGGTCCACACTGGCTCGAGAGAGCAGGGAGGGGGCCTGGCTGGGGGGTTTGCTGCAGATGCAGGGAGGGGAAGGTAGACCGTGGCCCGGGGCTTACGTGGAACGAACCTCTCACCACCGCCAAAGGAGAGAGCCCCCAGGCTTTGCGGCAACTGGCGGAGACACTGGGCAGAAGTGCAGGGGAGGGGGGGTGGCGCGGGAGGGGGAGCGCTGAGGCTTCACATCTGCCAGCAGCCAAACACCAAAAAACAGAATCAGACTCTATTACAGACCCCAGGACAGGCAGGTCCCATCATCCAAGATGAGAAAACTGGACTCCGTCTGTTTAGATCACTTGTCACAGCAGGTTAAACTTCGGCCCTTCAACTGCAAACCCACACTTCCTCCCCCACCCTGGTTCCAAGGTCCTGTGAGACTCTGTCACCGGGTGACACAAGCAGCACCGCCGGGCCCGCTGGCCGGGCCGAGCACAGAACCGCGGAAGGCAGCCGCAGTCCGTATTAACCCCAATCAGTGCTTTACGGTTGCCCTGACTTGCCCCACAGAAGAGAGAAGGGAGGGAGGGAGGAAAGGGAGAAGAAAGGAAGGCAGATTCCAGATTTTGGTTCTAATGTTTCCATTGCTTACCATGATTGTCCTTGCAGCTGTTTAAAGGATTCTTTTCACATACAGTTAAAATTCCATTTCCAGTGTATTCCATGAGTATTAGGTTCTGTTTCAGCAGCCACACTCTTAGCAATGGCTAGCATCCATTTCTCTTATCTGTAATTGAGCATGTGAAGGGTTTTTTCCCTCTCTGTTCAATGTCCTTACTGAGATCACCCCTTTATTTCCCCATAGAAAACCTAAGACTCGAGCATTACTGCAAAATCACGAGACTACCTTAAAATAATCAGGAATCAATTTTTCATGGGTTATAAGGCTCTGAATCATCTCGGCTAAGTTCTTCTGGGTAACCAAGCCGGATCAGGTTCCAAATTTGCTCAGCTTTCCTGTTAGAATTACAGTTACAGTCCGCTCTCCCTTCAACGCGAAACTAGCAACACCCAGCCCTGCGTCCCCTCCGGCAGGCAGCACCCCTGCGGCCGGGACGCCTCGCACGGGAGCAGCACAGGAAGCCGGATCTGTCCTGAACTAGGTGGTTCTGCAAGGTTTGTGTATTATTAGTTCGTGACTTTTCTGAATGAACTGCATTATACATCAAACCACAACTCAAGACAAAAAATATTTATGCTTCTCCGTTAGCCATATTTAGGAAGCACTGGAGAGGTCTCTGCCTTTCTTGAAGGTTTCTTAGATCTATTTTTAGAGTCACAAAACCAAATCTCAGAGTAGAGCGAGATGTCCAATGCCCAGTCACTCTCCCCACGCACCGGAGCTGCCGGGCACCCCAGCCTTCCTCCCGCCTGTCCCGGCCACGCTCGGAATCACCCGTCTCTTTCAAGGATGGAATTCAGACATGTGACTACAACAACGCTGGAGAGGAGCATTTAGGCATATTCGTTCTTCAGGAAAATTATTATAAATCATCAACCAACCGGGGAAATTAATAAGGAATGTTTTGTCCTAATGGTTAGAATGGCTCCAACAGGCATGTCCCCAAAGAGTCATCATGCCCTCAATCTACTTGGGACGTCATATCACACGCTCTCATTATCACTCTTCTCATCATCGTCATCCCCTTTGAGGGAACAACAGCTTCCTGGAACCAATTAACAAAGAAGAGCGTAACACTGAAAAGATAAATTCACGTTGAAAATTTGCGGCTAACAAGAAAAAGATTGGAGGAAATAGCAAAAATTCTGTCAAGGTCAAGCTTCTCAGTCCCATTTACCCCTCTATTTAAAAAATTAAAGCAAATCATATCATATCATGTCATACCATGTCATACCATATGTAGACTTCCTTCCCCACAGAAATAAGAGTGCATTTGAGCATTCTCAAAGTAACTCTTGGGGCATCGTGTCACATTTATAGGAAACAAACTCCTCCACTCCAAATGTAATGAAAAAAAAAAGCATTTCATCCCAGATATATTCCACATTCACTTGATTTAATTAATCATTTTAGAGAAATTCATTATTTGCCTCTGCCCTAGAAGAGACTTGAGGATATTTCACACACTGCTCTACCAAATGCCCTATTGAAAATGTTGGTGTTAATAAATTAATTGGTTTCCCCGAGGTTTAACATTCTTGTAATCCAGCCCCATCTATTATGTTCTGCCAAATTCTCTCAAGTCCAAATCCAGGGGCAGCAGCCGGCCATGGCTCGCACCGCCCCACGCTTCCTCGAAGCTTTTCAGTGCCCTGCCCAGCCGGGAGGGCGGTGCACCAGGCCCCCCACACAACGTCCCCCGCAATGCCCAGACCTTCCCAACATCTCCTCCTGGCCTCAGGCCGCGGGGAGGCAGCTGCCCTCTCGGCCTCTAGCTGCTTCGTCAGGGCCCTCAAGGGTGGAGAAAGGAAGTGCCGACCACCCGCCACGGAGCCGGCCACCACCTGCCTCCCAAGCCCCGCATCCTCGACGCACGCGGTGTTCATCGGGACAGGGAGCAGGGGTCACCTGGACACTGAACGCTCGGCAGGGGACGCTCGGAGCTGGATCCTCGAAGCGGCCACCGCCGGCACCGGGACCACGTTTGTGGAGAGTGGCTCAGCCCGGGCTGCAAGGAGCGCGCCACTTGGTGACCAATGGTCGCATCAGAAGTACCGGGGCTAGGGTGGCTGCCAGGCCCTGGAGCGGCCCGCCCCGAGAGCCAGGCTGGCACGGCTGGAGAACCAGGGTGGGCAGGGAAGTGGCACTTGCAAGGTCAGCCAGGTGTCCGCGTCTACGCGGACCGAGAGGCCGGATCCACCCCCTTTCCCAAGCAGAAGACGCTAGTGTCCCAAATGCTGGAGCCCCGCGCCGAGCAGCGCTCGCGGCCGGCGAGGCGAAGCTGCGGGTCCCGGGCCGGCGCCCCGCCCCGCTCCCGCCACGTCCACTCACCTGGCAATTGGCGCCGGAGACCCCCTCGGGGCAGGTGCAGCTATAGTTGGGCTCGCCGGCGGGAACCGGGGACTGAGGGTCAGGTGCGGGGCGCGGGGTGCATACGCCCCCGTTCCGGCAGGGCTGCTCGGCGCACGGCCCCGGGGAGGGCAGCGGAGCGGCGGACACCGGGCTGGCCAGGCAGCGGTCGCGGGGCCCCGCGCCGAGCAGCAGCAGCAGCAGCAGGGCCGCAGCGGGCAGCAGCTGCGCACCGGGCGCCGGGGCGCGGTGCGGCGGCATGGCTGACCGAGTGGCACGGAGCGGAGCCGGAGTCCGAGCTGGGGCGCGGTGGCCGAGGTGGCGGCGGTAGCAGCGGTGGCGGCGAAAGCTGCTCCGCTGGGCCTGGCGCCTTCTGCAGCTGCGGGCACCGTGGTTCCCGGGGCAACGACGGGCGGGGCCTGTGGGGCGGGGCCAGAGGGGAGGCGGGGCAAACAGGGGCGGGGCGCCGGGCGGGAGCGGGCCTAGGAAGCAAGGGGCGCGGGGACCCCTCCCCAGCGAGGTGTTGGGACTGGAGGATCAGCAAGGCCACCCGGGACCCCCAGGCGTGAGGGTGCGAGCGGAGTGGTGGGCGTGTCCTAAAGAACCGCGAGCGGGCAGCAGTGGCCGCGCGGGCCCGGCTCGGGAAGGAATAGGGCTGAAGGGGCAAGGCCGGCAGAGGGGGGTGCTTTATGAGGCCTCCAGGTGCCCAGCAGCGTAGCGCCCCCCGTGGGCCCCGCAGGGCAGGAGGGCTCGCAGCGCAGCGAAAGGCGTCCCGGCCTCGCAGCAGCCACCCGGTGCCTCTGGGCGCAGAATCTGGGAGATTCCTGCAGGCACCGGCCCCACCTCGTTCCCGGGGCTGCTGCCCTTCGCACAGTCCTCCCGGCCCACCCAGGCCTCTGCGCTCACAGCCGAACCCCAGAGCCCCGACACCCACTGATCCGCCGGGCTAGCCGGGAGGTGACAGCGTCTCCGCTCCTCTGACCTCGGGCCCTTGTCCTTGGTGCTGACCGAGAAGCCTCCCTTCTCGCCTGCCAGGCGACGCTCGCAGCTCAGAAGTGTCCTAATGTGGCTTGTGGGCGCTAACGGAAACCTCGGAATCAGTGTCCAGCCCTGTCGTTGAACCGAGGAGGAACCTGAGGCCCAGAGAGGCTGAACTAGAACCCCGTGTGCCACTTGACTCCCAGCCCAGAGTGCTGTGAGTCTCCTCGAAGAGCTGTTCTGAAAGTGCAGGTTCGCAAAGGCCCTGCCGGGATTCACTTGTACTCTGTAGAAAAGGAACATTCACCGTGATCTACCTGGGGTTGGACGGCGGGGGCGAGGTGTTGGGGGAGGGCACGGGTGGGGCTCCTCTAAACATCCCGGTCAGGCTGACTCTTGCTTTGACAACCAAGGAGGTCAAGCTCTGCTGAATAAACGCAGCTCGCCTGGTCTCTGCCCCCTGACCTTTCCCAACGCTACAACGTGTAAGCTCCCCAGTAACTTGTTTTAAGATGACATGTGAGACAACAAAATGTGACCCTGTTGGATTGACAGTTTGGGCAAATCTTTTAGGGCACACAAAAAGTGTTTCGTAAAAGCTGGGCAAATAACAAAGAAGAGACACCACATGAGCCCGTGCAAGCTCCAGGTGAGCAGCCCGAGGCTCCTGCAAGTCTCCAGTGGAAACAGGAAGCACTGCCCACCCTCTCCCAGCCCTGCCGAGCTCCCGCGCAAGTGTCAGGAGCTTGTGCGTTAGGAGACGCCTAAAGTTCATGTGGCCGATGCAAGAGGTCACCGAAACCCGGCCGGATTTTCATGCAGCAGGGGGAACTCAACCTTCCGTGTGGTTCCCCGGCACCTGCTGTCTTTTATCTGAGACTGCCTCAAAAAAAAAAAAAAAAAAAAAAAATCCGATTTTGTGCCACGCCAGCACCCTCTGCTGGTACTAGCCTCATCATTCAGGCGTTCCTCCACTTTCTGTGGAGCACTAACCTTTCTTACCTCAAACCCTAGAATAATGGACCAGTGCTCACTCCCTCCCATCAACACACACACGCGCACACACACACACAAATGAAACAAAGATAAGTGAAGAAAGGTTGCGCGCTCATTAAAATCACACTTCAGTTTACCTTATTTTTGCCTAGCAACCCCTTTGTGTACAGATTTCATATCATTTTGAAATATGGAAGGACAGTGGTTTTATTCTTTGAATGCTGATGTCTGAATTTTGCAGATAATATTCAGTTTTTAAAAAATGATTCTGTCTTTAATCTTTACAAGGCATATTCTGGGAGAGACGATACAAGACCATTGCATTTCTCTCCAAGCTGAGAAGAAAGGCTACATCTCTCGTCCCCTTACTTATAGGTGGAGCCACGTGATGAGTTCTGGGCAGCAGGACGTGCACCGTATGCCCTGGCCCCAAACCCACCCACACTAACACCAGCTGAGTGTGACGGTGATTCCTGCTGTTATCATATTCTGAGAAGTGGGTTCCTTCTGCGGTTCTGAACGCGGATCTGGTATTTGGCTAACAGTTTCCAACCATCTGAAAGGCCCCCAAATACACAACTAAAGAGTGCAACTAATATATTACCTTGTCCTTTTAACAAAAGTTATTAAAATAATATTGGCTCTATGTTTAAATATAAGCTAAAAATTTAATGATGCAGCCCTGTGGTTCATGCTGCTCCAAACTTACAGAACATCAAATCTTCACGTTAACTCACCTCATTTCTTTTTTTTGATAGAGAATCTACATTAATAAGTCAAGGGCGAAATATCCAAATAATGTATCGTGATTTCAGCAAAGAATGTGATAGAATTTCTCACGGTCACCTTCTGGGGAAAGTGGACTTGAAACCATTTAACAACTGTTGTCTGGGCACACTGGTCAGTGAACCACTGCCAGGTTAGATGACATTTTTAGGAAATGCCACAGACTCTCCAAATTTGGCAGCTAATACGATTACCAGAATCAAAGCACAACATTATCTCAACCAGTAAAAATGCTGAACTATAATAAATAAAATGGAATATGAAGGGAATGGTAGTCCATTTGGCCATACTGCTATTTGCCAATATTGCTACCTCTCCTCCTCCCAGGAGCTACTCTGTAGGACTTCTTTTGAAGCGAGGTGTGGTTATATGACTTGCCTTGGCCAATGAAATGTGAGGGGAAATAGCAGGCACTGCTTCCAGATGGAAACCTTTAAAATATAATGCATGTGACCAGGGTAACCAGCAAGATTCCAAGAGGTGAGGCGTCAGCCTGTGTCCCTGAGGGAGGACAACCTGGTGAAGCCATGGGAACCTACAATGGACATAGGTATGAGGAAGACATAAACCAATGTAGTTTTAATCCACTGAATCCCAGTGACGTGAAACAAGTGCAGGTCACACACTACTAAGGAGCAGGGCAGATCCGATAGTTCCCCGTGAGCCACGCAGCCTGACCGACCAGCTCAGGTGTGCTAGCCCTGTGGGACAGGCAGCTGGATCCAATTAAGGATCCAAGCATTTGGTGGAACAGAAAATTTTCAAGATAGTTTGGCTCGTCTCTCCTCGTGCATCTCCTCCAGAGTGACAACTCAACTGAGTTACACTGTAGGAGAGCAGTTTTCAACCTTTGCCATCTCATGGCACGCACACATTTCTTTTTTGGCTTGAAAGGAAAAGTCAGCCCCACAACCCAGAGGGAAAAGAAACAATGCTGGGTGATAATTTTTTGCCATGGAGAACAGCACCAAATAGCCTTCTTCAACCAGAATAGCTCTAGCAGGACCCATGATTGTGCTGAACAAATTACTCATTGTCTTTGACCTTGAGGTGCCACATGATATGGAGATAGAAATTCCTGTGCTGGAAGAGGTCATCAAAAGGATGTGCCCTCATGTTGACCCAGGAGCTGGACCCGGGCAGTTGGAAGCTGCTAACCCTTGTCCTTTCATTGGAATGTATTTGTCCAGCCTGCTGTTCCCATGGCCAGAGCTGTGCCAACAGCGTAGCCCAGAGCAAGTAAGGGGTCGCTGAGACCATCTAGACTGAAGACATGACGAAGCCCCACTCAGGCCTCTATGTAAACTTTTAACACTCTGGCAGGGCGGTGTGGCCACCAAGACAAGCCTTTTATGTAAGTTCCCATGTTTATTATGCCTGTCACCTACCAATCTGGAGCGGTCTGCCCTTCCATGCGTGGGGGTGAGTTTCAGGTTTCACCAGGGACGCCCCAGATGGCTAATTGTGAACCAATGCCTGCTTTATAGAGCTCATGGGAGAAGTAACCGGGATGATGGTATGTAGAGAGGTAAACTGGGTGATACGTAGAGTACGTACAACGAAGCTGGCACTAATATGAGTATATTTTTTACATATTATCTCTTTTAATCTTAATACCAAAAATAGAAACTATGACATGTGCCCAATTAAAAGAAGACAAAATTATGGTACAATGAGGTTAAATAAAAGATCTAAAGCCACCCAACTTGTAAGTAGAGTGGCCAGGCCTCACCCAAAGAGGGGAGTCTGGCTGGAGAGCCTGTACTTTGAACTTGACTATGTATCTGCTGTATGAATCTCCTACAGTGCAGCCTGGTACCTAATTGATACAATGGATGGATAGATAGATACATAGATAATTATATACATCTATGTATACATGTATATAATATACATATGTGTTATACTACATGTATACATGTATTCCACGTGTATATGTACCATATATAATGTGTATCATGTGCACATATGTGCACTGTGTGTATAATGGGCATGTCATATATGTGTGAATGAATGTATGGCACAATACACAGCACCTGCCGGAGTTTGGTTTATTGTTGGCGGAGGCACTGGAAGGTTTTCATTTCTCTGCTCACTTGCTTTCTTGGTGAGGCACACCACTACTTCTGAGTGGCAGAATTATAGGATGTGAGCATAGGGTGAGACTTTGACAATCTTTTCTGAGGAGGAAGATGAGGCACTGAGGAAGTCCGTCACTAGTCTGGGCTGGGCAGCCCAGAGCCAGAAGGAGGCCCCCAGCTCCCAACTGCACAGGTGATGCTCCCTCCACTTCCCCATGGTGCCTTTCCTCCGCTCCCAACATTCCCTCCATAAGAGGCAATCAAATCAAAAGGCAGTGTAGGAATATAACTACTAACTATATGGGGGGTTTAGGTGTCCTTGAAGAGTCTTCACAAAGAATAAATGTGATTTGCATACATTCTAGGCACAAGCACCAGAACGATTGCCTTATTCCTTTAATTGGTAGTATCCTTTTAAAA